GGAAAATGAATTTTTCTTTCCACTGACTCAGAATAATGAAGGTTTTAATTATGATTTTTTTTTGTAAACTCAATCCGGAAACATACTGTATAATATTAGTTATATTATATTATAGCAGTTATATATTATTATATTACTGCTATAATATACATAATTATATTATTATACAGGGTGAATATAAAGTATGGAACCAAGCGGTTTTATTTTTAATCATTTGCCTCCGGAAAATAATAATTAATATAAATTAAAGTAATATAAAAAATGTGATCGTAATTTCAGAACGAAATTTTGTTTTGTTTTTGAGTTATGCGATTTTTTGTTGTCAAAATTTCAGTTTATGTGAAAACATTTTTTTGAAAAAATTAAAAATAAAGCAGATAGTTGTAATCCTTAGAGTATAGCATTTATAAAAAAAATGATTTTATAGTGGGTTGCCATTTAAAAAAAATATTTTTTTTGTAGAACTCAAAAATAAAAGCAAATTTCGAAAAATTTTATTCTTGTTAAATCATCACATTTTTATAGTACTTTAGCCCTATTAATTAGTTTTTTCAAACAATAAATAGTTTAAGCAAAAAACGTTTGGTTCCATACTTTTTATTCACCTGGTATATTATTATTATGGCTTTAAATTTACCATCTTGGGTTTTTTGATTTGTTTAGAAGTAATAAAAATAAATATAAAAAAACGGAAGAAACTAGCTATTTGTCAATAAAATTAAAAGTAAATCACAAAAATTTTGTTAAGGTAATGGAATACATGGTCATGCATTTTTTTCTCTAAAATTTTCTTAGTGTCATTTTGCAAATTATTACAATCACCATTGAAGAAATTTTCAGAAAAAGACTGTTTTGAAGAAACGTGTATCCGGACCAACTTCCTAAATAAGGGTCTTTCGGCATATTACCTGCCGAACTAGTTAGTCTGGTGAATAGTTTTTTCCCCGAGTGTACCAAAAAACGTACCGCATTAAAGAAGACAACTTCATCGTCTGGATGGTAGAACAGGGGGGCTACATGCCCCGTCTGCTTGTCCCATTGCCCATGGAAGTCGTACGTCATCACAGCAACCCAATCTAGGTTCTGTGCCAGGACTGGAACATCGTACCCTGCATCTATCACAGTCTTGCTTGGAGAAACAGCAGCTGATAGAAGATAGCCTTTAGGTTTGAAGGCTTGCTTCAATTCGGTGACCCACGCAGCAAAGGCTTGTTTGTCCGAATCTGGGCCTTTTTTACAATCCACTTGCCAGCATTTCGGGTACTCCCAATCCAAATCAAGGCCGTCAAAGTTCCACTTTTCCAGAAATTCTAACACGTGTTTGATGAATCTGGCACGTGCGGCGGGGTTGTTGACCAAGCGGGAGTACTTGTCGCCTTGGGAGTCGTTCCAGCCACCCAAAGCAAGGGACACTTTGATTCCTTTCGCTTTGTAGCCAGTGACACGTTTGTAGAATTCTGGAATTAGAGTTTTATTTGAAGGAAGTACCACTAGAGGGTGATTACGGTTGTCGAAGTCGGCCCACGAGTCGTGCGCTTTAACTATCAAATTTTCGAAATCTAAAACGGCAAAACCGTAGACAATGTGGGTGCAGAGATCTGGGTCGATATCCTCTGGGATGTACCTTCCTAGGCCTTTCCGGTACCATGCCCAGTTTGTGAAATAGCAAACGATTTTAAAGTACCCAGATTGTGGCTTCAATTCTTCGGGAAGTGGTGGTTTTTCGGACGTTGGGGGGATGGGAGGGTGCCACTCCGTGGGTTGCCATTCCGGATAACTGGTGGTACTCCCCGGGTTCCAACTTGTACCACTTGTCACACTTGTAGTTTGCTCGGGTTTGGCAGTTGTCACAATATCCACAACATTGACGTTGCTGGTACCATCACAAGTGGCTTTCTCGGGCCAATCACAGATGTTTTTATTCTGAAAAAATTAATTAAGACATTAATTAACCTTAGGACTACCTTACATTATCCCAGTGTAAACCAGGGGCACAGTTAAACACTTCATATTTGCCCCAAAGACAATGCAAATATCGGGTACAATCCCCGGGGTACGCAGCAAAGGCATTTTCGCTACAAGCAGAGTATGGTTGTGGTCCCCCCATTTTGGGGAGTTGGTACTTCTGGGCCAGTTGTTTGCGACCAAGACATTTGACTTTGTACTTCCAGTCACACATGTGTTGTTCAGGGTTGTAGTGAAGTCCAGGGGCACAATTCTGTGGTACCAAGTGTCCATTAACACAAACGTAGAAGCTTGAACATGACTCATGTGGGTAGTACTGGCCTGAGTCACACTTATCATCAGTCAATTGTGACACGGTGGTACTATAAGTTGGCCTGGTTGTGGTACTAGTCGTGGTTTTAGTTTGCCAATGGTTGGTGGTACTCGGGGGTCGGTAGGACGGTTTTGTTGGTTTTTGCCACGAGGGAGTGCTAGGTTTATCAGCTGGAAATAAATTAGTAAGTACCAAACCTAAACCTTGTCCAGGTACACCCGGGGAAAAAACTAGTCACCAGTCTAACTTTGTACTCGGGCTGCGCTTTGTCGCAATAGCGTTTCAGACTAACTAGTTGGAGAGCAGGTAATATGTCGAAAAAGGCTTATTTAAGAAGTTGACCCGAAAAATGTGTTTTTGTGAAAATTACTTCAATGAGCATAGATTATAACGTACACATTAAATTGTGATTATAATAAACGAGCTTGCTCAAATTATCAAATTACAAATACATAAATTTATTAAAGAAATGTAGTTTGCAAGTATACAGTATGTTCCCGGATTAAGTTCTTTATCTACAGCTTTCAAAAATCAAGATTGTAGAACTAGTTTTAAATGCCAGAATCTTTTAATAAACTGTGAATTTTGCCAATTTCTATCAAATTATTTCTTCTATAATTAAAATTCTGAACTTAATAATACATTTTATAATAGCCAATCAAGAGGAAACAAATTTTTACCTTTGATTTTACGCTCAAAAAGTAAAGGAAATACTTTTTTTCTATAGCAGATGTTAAACTATTTCTTTATAAACTCTTTTGAGTAGATAAAGTAACACTTTAACAGCAAGTTTGTTTTTGCTTTATTTGAAACGAGCAAATCTGTAATTAATACTTCATTATTCTGACTCAGTGAAAAGAAAAGTTAATTTTTTTTCTTACTTTTGGACGATGTCACTTTGACAATTAATTAATTAATTGAATAATGTTTGTTTTGTTAAAAATGACTGTTTTTTTGACTTGCCATTTATTAAAATTATGTTTTTTACAAACATTTTTATTAATTAACTTGTGTTAATTTATCTGTCAAAGCGACATCGTTGTCAAAAAAATAAATCGCCCATGTGATGGGATTTAAAACGCAGAGAAAAAAATTACACTAGTTTACACGATTTTTATACCTTAGCTGAAAGTCATAATTTCTTATAGATTTTGAGGCAGTGAGATCAAAAAAAACTATTTAAAAAAGTTCACCACGTTACGTTTAAGAAATATGTAATTAACAAAAATACAAAAACCGCCAAAGAACAAATTAAAAATGAGTTATTTTACTTGGTTTTATTATACTTTTTGGATCAGTTTTCTTTATAACAATCCAACAGTAATCTACTAACATATTTTTATCCCAAAAACCTTCGTATCAGTCTTTAAAAAACTTTCAGATTTTGATGAAAACGCTCGTCTCGTTTGTCACTCATGCTCCCTAAATTTTTAGAAAAGAAGTTCAAATGGGAGTGAAATGTTTTTAAGACCTATTTAGACCCATATGGTAATAATTTTGCAATAATTCAGCAACAATTTGAACTTAAATAAATTTTAAATCGGAGGCATTTGTGCAGAAAGCAGGAAAATTATCGTCTGTAACAAAAAAGTGTGACGTGATAGAAAAATTTAACAATTATTTTTGTTTAATTAAAGGTAAGTTAACATAAAAATAATAATTCGATTAAAGGTATATTAAACATCTTATAGTTTGTAGACTATAGTTATTAGTTATTACAAGCTAAAAATCAAGAGAAAAATTAAATTTTCTTTCCACTGAGTTAAAATAATGAAGTTACAGGTTTCAGGTGAAGCAAAAAATGTTTTTCTTTTGCAGTGTTAGTGTAAAATTAAAAATAAAAAAATCCGGGGAGATACTGTATAATATTAGTTATTATTATTATGGCATTAAACTTACTACTTTGGGTTTTTTGCTTTGTTTAGAAGTAATAAAAATAAATTAAAAAACGGAAGAAACTAGCTATTTGTAACAAAAATAAAAATCACAAAAATTTTCTTAAGGTAATGAAATACATGGGCATGCATTTTTTTCTCTAAAATTTGCTTAGTGTCATTTTGCAATTTATTATAATCACCATATAATAATCTATACCAGTGGAAGAAATTTTCTTCAGAAAAAGACCGTTTTGAAGAAACATGTGTCCCCGAGTCCGGACCAACTTCCTAAATAAGGGTCTTTCGACATATTATCTGCTCCCCAACTAGTTTAAGTATTTGTCTTTTATTTTTATTTGGTAAAGAACAAGAATTTTACATTTCAAGACTAAAAACATAAATCCTACAGTGGTTAAAAAAAAATCTCTTGGGAAAACAAAAAAATATTCAAAAAATCCAAGAATTCAAAGAATTCCAAGACAAAAAAAAAATAATAATAATAATAAGAAAGTAATAAAATTAAATAGGAAACAAATAAAAAAAATTGATAAAAACAAAAAATGTATCCCCTAACAAAAATCTTTGATGCAAAAATTATTAAAGAGAGATAAATGAAATACATAGCTGGATTAGTAGGAAACACTATCGCAACAAAGCGCAGTGTGAGCAGAAACTTAGACTAGTGAATAGTTTTTTCCCCGGGTGTACTCACGTTTTTGCTCCTGGCATTTGGCCGCTTTGGGCCAATCACAGGTTTTTCGGTCTTTGTTCCAATGGAGACCACCAGCGCAATACTGTTTGCGCAATTCCCCAAGGACACACCTATAATAAGCGTTACAATTATGCGGGTCTGGTACGTATTGCCCAGGTTCGCAAGGTTGTGATGGTTTGTCTACTTCGGGCATTACGACAGCAGGGGGCGGAATTGTGGTTCCTTGAGTCGGCCAATTCGTCGTAGTTGGCCTTGTTGTGGTACTAGTTGTGGTTCGTCGTGTTGTTGTTGTCCTCTTAGTGCTTGTAGTGGTCCACCAAGGACTTGTTGTCCTCTTAGTGCTTGTAGTGGTCCACCAAGTACTAGGTTTGGTTGTCCACTCTGGATGCATGTGTTCGGTACTAGAAGCTCCAGTATCGACCCCAGTTGTGACTTGTGGAGGCGCAGGAGTGACGGGTTCCGGCGGTTTGGTGCAATCCTCACGGGAGGGATTGTCGGGGATTAATCCCAATCCTCGGTTCAAGCTTCGAAGTAAAGGGAAGGAACCACCACAACAACGATTGGAGAAGTCGTCCAAGTCGATAGTCCAAGCAACAGCGCCCCCAAAACCTTTGGTTCTGATGTATTCAGCCTTGTCTCTGACCGATTTGATGTCTTCGAAGCCGACCCATTGGTCCCCATGGTAGGCGAATGGGCCGGTGGCACCAGAACTTTCCCTATTGACTATCCAGCGTTGGTTCCTGATCCGGTTACAAATTTCGTAATAGGCCAACATTCCTGGCTGTTTGGTGTATTCACCGGCTTCACCAGGACCGGCACTAGGGACACCCTGGTCGTGATTATTACTTTTACTAAGGGTAAAACTTTGACCATAGAATGGTACTCCGACTAGGAGTTTTTTCCGAGGAGCACCACGAGATACCAAATACTCCATAGTGAAGTTCTGCAAGCCCAAAATTAGCTCAACTGAATCATAATTTGGTACCAAGTCATACAGTGTTGTATTGGGGGTACTTATCCCCCGGCCGGTGATACAGCGGACTCACATGCCCCGTTTGCCGTTCCCATGCCCCATGATAATCATATGTCATGACCGACATAAAATCAAGAGCGGTACCAAGCGCTTGAAGGTCATATGCTACATCTATGACCTCCTTATACCCCGAAATGGCCGCGGCTAGAATTAAACGAGGGTTTTGTTTGTCGAACTCGCGTCGCAACTCCTGAAACGCCAATTAAAAACAATTTCCCCAATGTTGGTACTACCTGAATTAACTTAGTGAAGTTGGGTTTATCCGAAGATGCCCCTTTTTTGCAATTACTTTGCCAACAAACAGGGTAATTCCAATCGAAATGTAAGCCTTTGAAGTTGTGTCTTCGTAAAAAGCTGACAACTCCTACAACAAACCGGCGTCGAGCGGAACCATCCCCTACAAGACGTGAGTACTTGTCTCCAGCTGAGTCAGTCCAGCCTCCGAGGGATAAAATCACTTTGGTGTCCTTCAAAGAAGTGACTCTTTCGTATAAATCTAAAAAAGGTTCGGTTAGGGTTAGTTAGTAAGATTCTGGGTTATGGTACTGTTATCCAAGTCGGCCCAAGGATCAAACTCCTTCAAGAGGAGTTTCTCGGGGTCAAGGCTCGCGAAAGCGTACACCACGTGTGTGCAAAGCCTTTGGTCGATGTGTTCCGGGACGAATTTCCCTTCGGCTTTTCTGTAGAAAGCCCAGTTGGTCATATAGCACACCACCTGAAACATTTGATCAAACCAAAGACAAACAAAGGTTATTGGGGTACTTTTGGTCCTTCATCCTTGGCTTCGTACTCGAGAAGGTCATCGTATTGTCTCAAAGAGTTTGCCACTTGGATGATTTGACCAGGCCTACACTTCTCCCCAAGGCTATATTCGCATTTCCCATTCATGGGGTCAAACATCATGTTTTCAGCACATGATAAGTGGTAGCTCAACCCTGAGCGACAGACGTAATAAGCGGCACAGTTTTTGGGGTCACTGTATACCCCTTCTGCCCGACAGGTTCCATAGGGTTTAGTTGGGGGATTCTGGTTTTGTTGCATTGGTAACAACTCGTTGCCTCTCAAATGCCGGTTGATGGTACTCAACAAAGGCCATTTTGTCCCGCAAACACCCTTGAAATCATCAAGGTCAGTAGCCCAGATAAAAACACCCCCTAGATTCATCTCCTGGACGTAATTAATCTTCTTTTCGATACTCTCACTGTCGTCATACCCCACCCATTGGTCCCCATATACCATAAAAGGCGCCCCTGATTCGTCCATACCCTTATGCCAGCCTTCATTTAGTAACATATCGCAGATTTCGAAGTATGCCAAAAAACCTGGATTTTGGGTATAGAACCCTTCCCGTCCTGGCCCTTTGATCGGGGCCCCCACTTGTGTCTCATTCGTGAATTGGAGGGTAAAGGAGCGTCCGAAAAATGGTACCCCGAGTACTATTTTGGACTTGGGGAACCCCTTTTTGATCCAGAATTTGACAGCATAGTCCACACTTAGAAATAGATCGAGGCCACTATCATCAGGCCTTGAGTACAAATTAGAGTGGTGGTCGGCCACAGGTTCACGTTCTCTGTGAAAATCAAAAGCTTGTAGGTTGATAAAATCGACAAGGGAACCCAAACGTTGGGGGTTGAACCCGTCTTCAACCCTAAACCTTGAGGCTGGTACCGCGATTGTTAACATCCAACCCCTAGGCTTAAAAATCTCGGATAACTCCTCGAGGAATAGATTTAGGTACTCTTTGTCGCTCAATTGACCTCCCATTTTCTCCGCCCCGGGGTACTCCCAATGGATGTCCATCCCATCGAAGTTGTACTGTTTGATAAAAGTGATAGCGGAACGGATAAACTCCCTTCGTCTGTTGGCACTCGAAACCATGGTACTGAACCTGTGGGAACCATCTCGTCCTTCCCCCACCGAAATCAGGACTTTTAATTTCGGGTTGACCCTTTTGAGTCCTGTGACTGAAATATAACCCCCTTGGATGATATCAAACTCGTCATCGTTCGAAATCATGTTAAAATTGTGGGGGTCAATAGTCGCAAACGCGTAGATCACGTGGGTGCACGCAAAGGGGTCCAAATCCTCAGGGGAGAAGGCCAAAGGCTCCTTACGATACGTCGCCGCCGCTTGGACATAACAAACAACACGGTCGTCCTCCCTGGGGTCATAAACCGTCTCAACCACCTCCGAGTGTTTACCCCTGGAGGAGAAAAGGCTCCGCCCTCGGGCAAAGGAGGGGTACTTGAGCAACTCCTGTGATTCGTTGTCTATCCTAAAAGGGGCGGCAACGTACGCCAAATCCTTGAAATACTGGATCGGGGAGTAGATAGTTTGTCGGGGAGGGTAGTAAAACACATCAACTTTGAAACTCGGATCGTAATCGTCGATTGGCTCATCGGGCGGTGGGCGTTTCTCCACGGCGTCTCTTAGTGGCAACCTCCGCGAGTCTGCGATTCTACAACCAATCAAAAGTCGGTAGGCGGGTCACACTAGGCGTGGCGACTTACACATCGGGAATTCGTTCCACTGCTGATCGGAGCGGCAAAGCGCGAGTCCCGTACAATTCCCGATTTGTGTAAGCGGCACTCCGGTCCGAAAGTTGGGGTCCTGAGGGATATCTCTCGACGTCATCCCGAAGGAAGCTCGGGAATGTCCTTTTCGTCCTCACGACCCTTTCTTCGGTCGGTGTGAGGATTAAAAACGCACACAGCTGGAAAATCGCAAGGGTCATTGGTGTCTTTAATCGAGATAAAGCCAGCTTTGATTTGCATTATCATAAATTAAGAACCGGTATATGGACTTGTTTATTTTGAAGACAAACAAAGACGAGTACAAGGACCGGAATTACGAAATTTGGGGCCCGTGATTCATGGTGTGGATATCAGTGATTGGCAGTTTTGCGAATTGAAATGAGATTAAAGTGACAAGACGCCTACTCGGATGTTTCCTTGTTATAAACTGTATGAATTATTCAGATGGAAGTAGGCGGGCGAAATGGCGGGAATTTAATTGCAATTCAAATACTGAAATGTACTTACAGTTATGTGCAGTAATTCCATGTTTGTTGTTAGTTAAACTTATTTACACACTCATAGGTGGTTTTGTTGTGGACGCTTCACAACACCAGTCTTATGTTCTCCCCCTGGAAAATACTTACAATTAACATTGACAGAATTCGTGTGACAATGAAGAACCGAACGTGCGTGCCACTGACCAATATTTATAAAAAAGTCTGGTCACAATGCAAGCAATTGGAATTCCTGACGAATAACAAGCGAGATAAAGAGGTACACGCCTGTTTGTCTGATGTTGCAATTTTTTCTCGTGGTGACTAATGGGGTTGGTTTGGAGGAAGTTTGAGGGTTTGCAGAGTTGGGAAAAATTTTGGAATCGATAAATTGGAATCGCGGTTGATGACATAAGCACATGCCAAAGGAGGAAAGTTCATTGCCTTCTATATGTTTTGGTTGGAGACAATGACAGGAGTTTTTGGACAAGGGCAAAAATGGTTCATTTAGAACTCTCACAATTTGGATTTTTTTATTGTAATTTGAATGAAGCTTGATTAATTCAAGTTTTCAGGTTTTGTTTACAGTTTTTTACGCATCGTAATTTTTAATTTAGTTTAATTAGAACTAATTCCAATTAATTTACAATTTCGTTGCAGTCGCGACTTTGTTTTACAATAATTTTGAAACGAAAACATGAAAATTGAATTTCTGTAGTAATGCTATTAGGAAGTACCTAATTACATATATTTTTTTTTAATTTTGAATTTGGGAAAAAGATATGACAAATTAAAATATTTTTTTAATAAAATTAACTGAAGCTTTTGAAATAAAAGTCATTTTTTGTGTAATTCGATTACATGTGAATATTACATATTTTACTTAATTTTAAATTACATTAATTTTGAACTCCTGGTCGGACTTGATTGGAATTAGAAGTGGTTTCAAAAAATCAAGGGGCCGAAAGAAATGTGCACAACTAATTCCAAATCCAAAAAAAAAATCCCCGTAATTGCAGTAATTCCTATTATTCCAAAATCATTCTGATAGTTTTAAGAAACTGAACGTTTTTATGAAAAAAATTATCTCCAATAATTCCAAAAAGAATTAGTAATTTTAGAAAAATTCTAATAATTCCAAAAAAAATTCATCGAAATTCTACAAATTTCATTGGTTTCAGGTTAATTTCTGTAATTCCAAAATAATTCCTCTACTTCCAAATTAATAATCTATTTTTGCATTTTATGTAGGACCAAACATTTACGAGATATGGGTTAAAAAATTTAGGGATCATCCTTTTCTCCAACTGTCTGGAGATTTGTTTTATCTTACAAAAAAGTGTTCCAAATTTTAAAAATGTTAATGAAGAGTTTTTGAAAAAAATGTACTATAAAATCTTAGTCTTAATTGTTTTTATTTTTCACTAAAAAATTGAAGGTAAATAAGTATTTGAAACATTTGTATCCTCTGAAATCTCCTAAGAAAAATTTACCAAAATTTTTTAAAACCAATGAGTTTTGAGTTATCAGCAGAAATTTTAGTTTTCTGGAAAAATCAGCTCTATTTATTTTTTTTTAATAATTTGTCATTTTTGAAAGATAGATAAATAGATAAATAGATATCTCTAATAATTCCAGAAAGAATTTGTAATTTTAGAAAAATTCTAGTACTTAATTTTAAAAAAAATTCATCAAAATTCTAGTAATTTCATTGGTTTTAGGTTAATTTCTGTAATTCCAAAATAATTTCTAATTTTAAATTATTTCTTTAATTTCAAATTAATTCCGATAGTTTTAAGAAATTTAACATAATTTTAAAAAACGATAATTTTAAAAAGAATTCCCGGAATTCTAGAAAAATTCCTGTAATTTACAAATAATTCCAAGCAATTTCGATTAAATTCTGAAAATTTGTTTAACTAATTCCAGACTTAACGGCAAAATTTAAAAGAAATGTACTCATTATTATCAATTTTTGCTTTTTTGAATTATTTTAATTAATTAATTTTACCTAATTTGCTATTTTCTGATAGCTGAGAGTGGTCACGACTTGAAATTTTTAACTTCTGAATTAGAGCTATTTGGAATTAATTAATTAATTAAAACCTATTAATTAAAGTAATTATTTTTAATTTAAAAATACTTATTTCTGGTACTGTTTCAAATTTAAAAAAATGTTGGTGAATATATTAGTTCTACTTTAGTTTTTTTACTGTAATAGCGACTAAATGATCTCATTTATTGATTAATTAATTAAAGTTATAATAAATCGGAATTACTTATTTTTGTTATAAAACTAACTGATTTTTTGTGGAATTTTTTGTAATTTTGATTGAATTATTTTCTTAATAAAACTAAAAAAAAAAAACAAAATCTTTTAATGATTTTTTTCTTAATTTTTAATTTTTTTCTTCTTTAAACTAAATTCTGCTTCTATTTTTTTTTTAATATTTTTTATATTGTCATTATGAAACTAAATATTTTTTTTATTAAAAAGGAAAAAGTTTTGATCTGATTTATTGGATAATTAATTAAAATTAAAATTAATCAATAAAGAATAATTTTAATTTTCAAAATTAGTAATTAATTATAACATGTTGTTTTTTAGTGTAAAATCACTTGGATGATTAGAGATTTGAGTTACTAATTTTTAATTGGTTTGAATTTTGACACTTATTTTTCTTATCTTATCTTAGGGGCCCAAATTTTTCGAAATTTTGGGGTCGAGTGGAGTCAAAATTTGAGACGAGACAACTATATTGAAAATTTATGCAAAGTCATAAATGGAACCAAAATGTTGGACCGCTTTGGAGTCATCTCGCATTCTTGAACCATTAGCATGAAAATGCTAAATAATTTACACCGAAGTACCATAAATCATGGGTTAAAAACCGGCCCATGATGGTCTATAATTACCAAAAGTGCTTGTTTTTTCTCCTTACTTTAGAAATTTTGGCACTTTTTTTCACACTCACGCACTTGGGGGCACATGAACTCTTCGCCATTCAACCACACAAATGCGTTTCGACTTCAAAAGACGGATTCTTATAGGCGAAGAGGTGGAGGTAGAACTGGTGGCCGATGTCCCGAACCCAAAATCATCATTGCCAATTAACAATCCGGTCCTGAAAAAGAAGTGGATGGCTACTGCAGCATTGCATATCACTTGCAATTGATACCAAATGCCAATGAATCACCTTGAACTTGGCTACTGGCAATGCTTTTCCAATCGCATGATCGGGAATTGGGGATTTATGACTGTCTTCACGAACTTGACCTCTCTTTTAACACCTGAGAGAAGCCACCTCTGTTATTTGGAGGACGGCCGAATTTTATTATTTTTCGGTGTTTTGAACAGATCGAATTACAACAACAAAATTCAATTTGCCCGGTGAAAAACAGGCACAGATTGAGATTTTTTTCGACCAAACTGGGCACTAATTTATTGCGCTTGAGATAATGAATTATTCAAGAGTTGAAATACTATAAAATCGTTATTTTTTAACAACATTTTAATGCCTCGTAAATGCCAAATTTATTAATCTTGTCCTATTTCAAAAGTCTAGTTTTGATCGATAAAATCATTATCTCACTTCCCACTTGAAATGTTTTAATTCTAGACAAATATTTGACGTCAAGCCCATCCTCAGAARTTTTACACTTGATAATTTTCGATTTAGTTACAGTTTCTSATTTTTTTTAATTAGAAGAATTGGATCATTTTATGTCAATTGCGTCTCGTGTGTTCTATTCATAAATATTAAGTGTTCAAGTATGTTATTATGGATAATGACCCTTGGAAGTTGAGGATGCGGTCTAATGACAAAGGAAACAAGTTTTTTCTAAGAAAGTCTATTAAAGGTTTGCAATTTTTTAATTTTTTATAAAAAATTGTAAATAAAAATTTGAAATCTATTTTTGGATTTTATCAAGGACCAAACATTTACGAGATACCTATCCGTTAAAAATTTAGAGATCAACCTTTTCTCCAATTGTCTTGAGATTTGTTTTATCTTACAAAAAAGTGTTCCAAATTTAAAAAATATTAATGAAGAGTTTTTGCAAAAAAATTTGGAACTCTCAGTCTTAATTGTTTTTATTTTTCACTAAAAAATTGAAGATAAATACGTATTTGAAACATTTGTATCCTCTGATTTTTTAAGATCAATAATTTTTGAGTTATCAGCTGAAATTTTAGCTTTCTGGAAGAATCAGCCCTATTTATTTTTTTTAAATAATTTTGTCTTTTTTGAAAGATAAAATTGACGTTTTTATAATTGGAAAAAAATGTTATCATGGCAGTACTCACTTTTAATCCTAAACTTAAAATTTTTTAGGACTAAGATTAAAAATAAATGATTTTTCATTTCATTTTTAATCCTAGTTTTAAAAGTAAAATAGTTTTCTATTTCATGAATGTTTTAGTTCTTATTCAAATAATTTTGCGCATGTTATTGTTGGTTGGAGAAAAAATAACATGTTTTATTCGGCGTAAAAGGAGTTTTTTGTTTCGCAATTTTGCATTTGTGAGCCAAAAAACTGAAAAAAATGCATCTTCAATGTAAAATTTTATATTATTTTCAAAAAAACACTATACATATAATTAATATTTAAAAAAATTGAGCTCGTTGAAATCTATTTTTCGCCAAGAGAAATCCTGAAAAATTACAAAAAAATAGTTCCTGAAAAATGAGCTGATTTCTAAATTTTTTAAAATTTTTTGAAATCTTGGAATGTTTTAATTTTTAACATACTAAAAATTCAATAAAACAAGATAAATATATGTAGCCTCTGAAATCCTGAAATCTCCTTAGGAAAATTTTCCAAAATCACTTTAAAACAAATAATTTTTGAAAGGTCTGAAATTTTAGTTTATTTGAGAAAATCAGATGAGAAATTGTTTTTGGGCCATTTTAAAGTGTCTCAGAACTGTTTTTTATGCAAATACCGTTCTAAAATTTAAAAAAGTTCTTCCTACAGCTACATAAAAGCTTTAAAAAAAAATTAACATCGAAAAAACATCATCATTAATGTTTCAAAAACTGAGGTCGTTGAAATCTACTTTTTACGAAGAAAAATTGTGAAAAATTACAAAAAACAGTTCCTGAAAAATCAGTTGATTTCTAAATTATTTAATACATTTGGAGTTCTCGAATTTTGAAACAACTTTTTTTGTTATCCCAACTTCAACTTAAGTTTTTTAGTTTTTTCTACAACTAATTGAGGAAAAATACGTCTCAAAGTTTGAATGTTAATCTTTCAAATTGTAAACTTTTAACATCGTAAGAATAGAATAAAGCAGTAAAAATAAAAAACAATATTTGAATTGTATTTTTCAATTCAGTTGATGTTTTTATTTGTTTTTTTTTAATAATATATAATATATCGAAATATCAATTGAAATTAAAAAAAAATGTTTTAAAACTTTAGAACAAAAAATAAAACACTTTAAACTCAAAACTGACTTTTTTGATTGCAAAATTTGTAAGAAATTTGATTTTTTACCCCAATTTCATTAAAACTTGCCCCACTTTTTTTTCTTTTCACTTTGAAATACTACAATGAGCAATTTATCGATTTGCTATTACTTTGTTAACTTCATACTTAATGATTTCCTAGTATTCTCTTCATAAATATTTAGTTTTCAAGGCTGTTATTATGGATATTGACCCTTAAATATTGAGAATGTGGTCTATGACTGACTAAATGTTTGTAAACAAATAACCAACAAAAGTGCAATAATTTTTTTCCTCGTTTTCAACATTTTTCCGATTTTCTTGAACTTTTCCCAGGTGCGAGTAATCGATTTCCACCAGATACATATTTAATTAGCCTTGGAATAAATAGATGACATTTTCACAAGAAAACATGTCATTAAAACAAATGGAAAATCAATCATATTTTATTACATCTGCAATTTACTTATCYGAGGATTCAATTTTTACTCAATTTTCACCGTAGTATTCTATAAATAAAAACTGTTAGGTGGCTCTGATAACTCTTATCATTTAAGTATTTTGCACCTGTAGTAATGTATTTGCACTAAAAATGTGAGTCATAAAAATGTATTCATTGTAGCTCTCGGTGATAAAACGCTGCGGTCGTGTTTTCCGTCCATGGTAGTTAAGAAAATTGCGGTCTGCCACCCATAACTCATCGAAATGGTTCCCAACCCATCACTCGACTCGCTACCCATTAAATACCAATTATTCGATAACCCAACACCTTGAGACAAACCGATAGACGATTCCGTTTAAAATTCCTGATTCCGTCCACGTTTCGCGTTTTTTCCTCAAAATCATCATGGATTCGGAACAATTGAGTGTTTAATGGCGATCCGATGTCGCATTAATATGAAGCCATAAATTCCGCGATGCTAATTTGCGGTTTTTCTTCAATTCCAATCGCGAGGTTAAAGCCTTCGGCGACCTTCGTTAATGAGAGTTTGATTGTCTGCGACAAATCTTATGGTAATGTCGCATGACGCGCCCATTTACAAATTAACGCCGGATTTTTCTGATAGGAGAACATGTGTCTAAGGCTACCAACCTCCGATTAATCAAGGCGAAACGAGTTTTAGTTGATAATGGATGATTACAGTTAGATTCAATAACCTGGCGGAGGATTTTCGGACAAAAATTAGTTTCTTCTAATTAGAAAAATAACACGGGAGTGTCTTGACCTTACATGATTTCCGAATTTTCCGGCTGTTTTGCTGGGATAATGACGAATTTTTCACGTTTTTGGTGGACTCGCAAAGGTTAAAAGCGTGAGTGTTTCCAATTTTAGGAGAGTTAACATTTGGCTCTTGTGAATTCCTAAACTAGTTTTTTCACTTTCTGGCTTTTGATACAGATGATTCTGATTAGTGAGTTGTCGTCGCTAATGGCTCATCAAATGATTCCTAGAATTTTTTTTAAATCAATTTATGTCCATCAAAGAAGAAATTGTAATTTATAAAATTTTAGACTAATTCGAACATTTTTTTCTTTGTTTTTATTTTTACTAAAATTTAGCGAAAAGTGCTTTTACGACAATTGAAAGCTGTAGATGTTTGGTAACAAAATCTCGACCACTACTATAGAAAAAATAAATGCTGAGTTGAAATCCTCAAACAATTCTACAGAGGAAGTAGGTAATTTTGTAATACTTCAAATCACCACAATGCTATAAAAAATTATAATTCAGTTGTCGTTTTTCTCCACAAGTAAAATTCGATCAACTTTTGCTGATATCAGGAAAACTACGTCTTTTAGATAAAAAATAAAAGTAGATTCGAGATCCTCAGGCAATTCTACATAAGAAAGAACTGACTTTGTGACACTTTCGAGAAACAGAGTTTCAAAAAAAAATTAAATACACCTCTAGATTTTTTCCCGAAACTACTATTCGAGAATAGAATTTTGTCAATATTTCAGAAACCACTGCTTCTAACTGAAAAGTAGAAGAAAATTATTTTATGATACTACTAACGACCAGAGTACTAGAAAAAGGTTCTAAATATACCTCCGGATTGATCCCAAATTTAAAAAATCTGTGTTGATCCTTAAAAAAATAAAAAAGGTTCAAAAAACCTCAGACTATATTTTACTAAGGAAAAGGTAATTTTATGTTATTTCAGGCAACGATTGAATTAGAAAAATTTCTAAATAGTACCTCTAAATTTTCCCAAAAACTAAAAATCCATAAGCAATTGACTTTTATCGATATCTCAAAAACTACCACTTCTAGATGAAAAATATAAACTTTTTCAAATCCTCTAAACAATTCTACATAAGAAAACGCCAACTAACCAGAGTGCTAAAACAAGTTCTATACATGCATCCCCAATTTTTTTCCAAATCAATTAAGCAAAGATTTTGTCAATATCTCAAAAACCACTGCGTTTAAGTAAAAAATAAAAGCAGACAAAGTTGCACAAGAAAAAGTTAACTTTGTGATAATTTAGAAACACAGAATGCCGGATAAAAATGTTCAATAAACTGTTGCATTTTCTTCGAGACTAAAAATCAAGCAAATGCAAACTTCTCTCAATATCTCAAAAACTATTGGTC